AATATCCATGATGAGAGAGAATGATGGATCGGCTGCCTCCTGCAAGTCTCCCACTGGGGATCGAGCTCACAGCCCGGGCATGTGCCCTTGACCAGAATTGAACCTGGGAACGTTCAGTTTGCATGTTGAGGCTCTATCGACTGAGCCAAAATAAGCTAGGGCTTATTTTGATTTTTATATTCAATTATTGATGGGTACATATTTATTGCCATTTTATCATTCATATTTTTCTTTCCTCCTCCTCCTCCTCCTCCTCTTCCTCCTTAACTCTAAATGATAGTTTGCTGGGTAGTATAATCTTGGTTGTAGGTCCTTGCTACTCATCACTTTGACTATTTTTTGCCACTTCCTTCTGGTCTGCAAAGTTTGTGTTGAGAAATCAGCTGACAGTCATATGGGCAGTATCTTGTAGGTAACTGCCTTTCTCTTACTGCTTTTAATATTATATCTTTGTCTTTAATCCTTGGTGTTTTAATTATGATGTGTCTTGTTGTGGTCCTCTTTGGATTCCTCTTGATTGGTGTTCTCTGTGCTTCCTGGACTTGCAAGTCCATTTCTTTCACCAGGTGGGGGAAGTTTTCTGTCATTATTTCTTCAAATAGGTTTTCAATATCTTGCCCTCTCTCTTCTTCTGGTACTTACTGTCACTGTTTATTCCAACAGGTTTTCAATATCTTGCTCTGTCTCTTCTCCTTCTGGCACCTCCACAATGTGAATGTTGGCATGCTTGAAGTTCTCCCAGAAGCTCTTTAAACTGTCTTTATATTTTTGGATTCTGTTTGCTGTTCTGATTGGGCATTTTATGCTCCCTCATATTCCATACAGCTGATTTGGTTCTTGGCACCCTTTATTCTACTGTTGAATTCCGGTAAATGATTCTTTATTTCAGTTAGTGTATGTGTAATTTCTGACTGGTCCTTTTTTGTGTCTTTGATGTTCTCACTAAGATTCTTGAAATTCTCTTTAAGCCCCTTGAAGCTCTCATTAAGATCCTCGAGCAACTTTATAACCATTGTTTTGAACTCTGAATGTAGTAGTTTGTTTGCTTCCATTTCATTTAGATTTTTTTCTGGAGGTTTATTCTGTTCTTTCATTGGTGACATGATTCTTTCATTCGTGACTGCTTTTTGGCTGCTTCCCTGCAGTTGTTTCTATGTATTAGGTAGAGCTGCTATGTCTCCTAGTATTGGCAGAGTGGCCTCGTGTATTAGGTGTCCTGCTGAGCCCAGTGGCTCAGCCTCTCCCTCGCTGCCCCGCCCCCAGTCACTTGAGCTGGGCACTCCAGGTGCAGCCCTGTGTGGGCAGTGTGCACAGTCTTATTGCAGTTGAGCCTTGATTGCTGTTGGCTTCACTGGGAGGAACTAACCTTCAGGCCCATTGGCTGTGTGGACCAGCTGTGACTACAGTGGAAGAGCTGCTGTGCAGGAGACACCCCTATGGAGCAGGACTTGCTTTAGTGGAGCTTTGGTGCTCTCTAAGTCGGCCCCTTCAGTTTAGAATTGTTCTCTGTTGAAAATCTGATGTGGTCTGAAACTGTCCACTGGGTGCACTGGCCTTGGAGCCTCCAGGAAGGTGCAAAGTCAGCCACTGCCTGGGCCACCTGACTGGAGCTACAGCGTGATCTGCAGATGGCTGCTACTTGTGTTGGGCTTGGAGGTGCCCAGAACATGTCAAGCTGTGAGGCCAGGCAGCTTCTGATAGTGTCAAGCTTTGGGCCGCTTATTAGGAGGAATGGGGCACAGGGACACTAGCTGCTGCTTATTGAGAGATTTTAGGAAAGTCTGAATCCTGAGCCAGGACAGGCCATTCGTATGTAAAAACAACTGCAAACAACTAGTGTGAGGCTGCAAAATGGGTGGGGTGGGGTTACCCCCAAAACAATATTTTATAAAATGTTAAAGGGTCTTCTTTAAGAAGAAGGGATAAAAGGTAAACAATATAAATGACAAAATGGCAATAAATACATATCCAGCAACAACTGAATCTAAAAATAAAAATAAATGAACAAGGAATCTAGTGAACACAAGAAACTGATGAATAAAATAGAACCAGAGGCCAGCAGGCATGGCTCAGTGGTTGAGCATCGACCTATGAACCAGGAGGTCACAGTAACCGGTTGGGGCACATGCCCGGGTTGAGGCTCGATCCCCAGTGTGGAGTGTGCAGGAGGCAGCCGATCAATGATTCTCTCTCATCATTGATGTTTCTCTCTCTCTCTTTCTTTCTGAAATCAATAAAAATATTTTTTTTAAAAAAAGAAAAGGAACCAGAGACATGAAAACATGGAAGAGAATGATGAATCCCAGAAGGAAGGGGGTTGGGTAGAGATTAACCAAAGATCATATATGCATTACCTATGGACATAGACAATAGGGTGGTGAAGGCCTGGGATGGGGTGAGAGCTGGGTTGAGGTGGGCAACGGGGAAAAAAATAAGGGGACATCTGTAATACTCTCAACAATAATGATTTTTAAAAATATGAAAAATAAAATAGTCTAAATACATATCTATCAGCAATTGAATCTAAAAAAACAAATAAATGAACAATCAAACAGAAGCAAACCCATAGATTCAGAGAACAAATTGGTGGTCCCCAGATGAGAGGGGAGTGGGGGCTGGGTGAAAAAGGTGAGGGGATTAAGAAGTACAAATTGGTTGTTACAGAATAGTCATGGGGATGTAAGTACATCATAGGGGATATAGTCAGTAATACTCTAATATCTATGTATGGTGTCCAATGGGTATAAGATTTATCAGGATGATCACTTAGAGAATTATATAATGTCTAATCACCAGGGTGTATGCCTGAAACTAATATTGAATTGTATGTCAACTGTAGTTGAAAAAGAAAAAATGATTAGAAATCTTTAACTAAAGGTCAAAAGCTACTTAACAGAAAACTCCTACTTAAATAAGAGGTGGTAACTATTAAAATGTTTTAACTTATGACCAAACATTAAAAGATTAACGGACTGGCTCAAGGGTTAGCTCTAAGGACACTTGCCTGCAAAACCAGATGTATTACAATCTGCAAAATTAGGTGTATTAGGTGTCCCCACCTAATATGGACCAGCCATACAATCTAATCTAAAATACTATATTAAACAGACAGTCATCACATGTCCTTGAAATACATAAAGTCTGTACATAATTGGAGACTCAACTGAATATTTATAAGATCAATGAAATGGGTGAAAAAAACTTTTATAAGAGCAAATGACACAAATGCCTGGTCTAATATGTACAAATTATTAATCTCTCCCACAAGTGATATTAAAACATTTCTCTGTGCATCTCATCTGCATAGGTTGGGAGTGTGGTCTTGTGTTTTCAGGAAAACTGTGCCCCAACCTTGAAGTAGAAACCATCGTTACACATCAACTAGAAGGGGACTTAGGAGCACTGTGGGACTATCAGTGTGGTGTTAATGGTGTCCCACATCGGCTTGTACTGTTTTGTGAAAGTCAGTTTGTGCATCACCTCCCAAGTCTGCGTGAGGACCTTACATGGGCACTTGATGTTGGCCATGAAGGGGGCATATATACCAGAGAAAGTGGCAAATGACAGGAATCCATGATTTTCTTATATTAAATTTATTGAGGTGCCATCGGTGAATAGCAGGACATAGGTTTCAAGGGTGCACGTCTGTAACATGTCCTCTGTGTCTTGCACTGTGTTTTGGACAATGGGGTTTTCGGAGGCAGCACAGACTAGGCGACCCCTTCAAACAACCAGGTCTGGATCCCAAGGGGTGAAGTTTCTGCAGAAAGCACACAGGTGGCCTCCGAGGCCAGGTGAGGGGCGTGTGGAGTCCAGAGAGGTTGTTATGACCTCCTGGGGGTTTACCTCTTGAAGGATGGATTGTGAACCTTGTAGATTGATTCCAACAGACTGCATTATCTGGACTCAGAAGATGGGGACTCCATACAGACATGAAGTTCTGTGTGGTTAGAAATAAATGAAAACATATTCCATGCAAATGTAGGGAGGTGTGGACCTGAACCTGCCACCTGGGATAAATGCTAATTTCACCAAAATGGGGAAAGTCAGAACCAGTCACAGGACTCACAGTGGTCGGGAGGGAAAGGACCACAGTCCAAGGGCAGAAGGTCCAGACCTTGTCCCTGCACATGAGCGATGACTCCTCCACCCGCAAGGAGCCGCAGACAGGTCCCTCAGCATATGTCCCACGTTATCTTCCAGAACGTTCCCAAGATCCCCCTCTCTGAACCGTGCATTGTTCCCTCCATGTTCATGTCCTGGCTGCATCCTGGGTCTGTTTCTGGCTCTTTTGAGACCAAAATAGCAGCACCCCGAGCACCACCAGGACCAATCCAGCCACGGCCAACCGGATGGAATTCTCCACAGTGTGGTCTTGTGGGTCGGAGGCTGGGGTTTGTGGGAAAACAGGTCACAGAGGTCAGGGCAGGACAATGTCATCCAGACCCTGGATTTCCACCCAGGCACCCCCTCCCCTTGACAGGACAGCACCCTCTGTGCTGAGCCCATAACAGACAGTGTCTCCTACTCACCACTCTTGGGGTCTGAGTTGTTCTGTGATGGGCTGATGGTGTCAGCTGATCCTGAGAACCAGATAGGAGTGGGGCTGTGTCAGGAGTTGATGCCACTCAAGGCCAAGGTCCCCACAGCTCTCCCCTTTCTCATGATCTAACTGCTACCAGTCCTTCCACAAACCCTTTCTCTGCTGGAGAAGGGTCCTGCCTGCTTTCATGGTTTCTTTCAGGCTCCCTGGTAATTTTGAGTTTAGAATTTACTTCTGAGTTACTTTGGATCACAGTTTGGCTTTGCCTGGAGAATTGAGGATTGAGCAGAAATATGGGCTCACGATTTGGAAAATGGGGAGTCTTTATTTATTTAAAATCCTCACTGGGGGATATTTTTTCCATTGATATTCAAAGAGAGTAAAGAGGGGCAGCGGGAGGGGGAGAAAAATCTATTTAA